TTATAATTTAATTAACTACTTTAAATCATCAAATCATATACAAATATTATTCGGAAATTCTCTGATTTATTTGTTTTGAATTTCGCGCAAAGCTACACGAGGGCTATCTGCGCTAGCCGTCCCTAATTTAGCAGTGTAAGACTAGAGGGAAGGCAGCTAATCATCACCACCCACCACCAACTCTTGTGCTACTCTTTTACCAACGAATAGTGGGATTGGTCATCACATCATAATGCCCACACGGCTGAAAGGGCGAGCATGTTTGGTGTGACGGAGATTCGAACCCGCGGACCTCAGATTATGAGTCGAGCGCCCTAACCACCTGACCATACCGGGCCCTAATTTATTTGTCAATCTCAAACGAATTCAGAATAAATCCCGATACACAATAATACGAAACAGAAGAGTCTTAACTTAAAACGTAAACTGTTTACTACTGGAGAAGTCCTAGATGATTTAAGGAATATACTCGTTTGTGACATAATTTTGGAAAAAAAAAAATAAGACGGAGAATAATAAAAAATTATATTTGTTCATCAAAAGATTCAAACCCGCAAGAACACGAGTGTCTCGTCAGTAATAACTTTGATATATTACATTAAAATAAAACTTATGATAATATAGTTTATTAAACTTTCTTTAACGGCTCGATAATCACGCAGTATAAGCTCGGAATAAGTAATTACTTTTATTAATGTTTCTAAGCTCTTCTACGACTTTCTTTTTGGAATCTACGTTCATTGTTCTAAATATATCTACGTGTAAAGTTTGATTGTTCCCCAGCTAGAAGGGTGCTGACTCTAGATAATCGTTCCTCGGCTTCGTTTTGTTGCTAAGCGACCGAAAACGTGTAATTCCATTTAATTATAACTACATCATGTATGTGGATTTTGGTTAATTTCATCATGGGATAGAAATTGCTCATTTTCTCCAGTTGCTCTAGTAACCAATAATGACATCTCTATAGTCGTCAAAGTATCAGGTTGTTTTAAAAATTAAAACAGTTTTTGGTAATACACCTAACTAGCTAGAAGAGTATAACTATCATAAGGTGTACGCTAACATCTGTAGAGCAAAAATCGAAAAACACACAGACAAAAAAAAAATCAATCATTAGCACGTAGTATTGGATATTATTAAAAAAAATCACTGAATGATGAATTTTTTACAACATTTATATTTAAAGAGAGACATTAAATTTACTTTTACATCGTATGTTGATGTTTATTTGTTTAAATGTTGCGCAAAACTACTCAAGAGCAGAGAAACGAGAAAGAGCGAGAACTTAGCTGAATTTGCTGAAGATATGGTAAGCTTTGCAAGGAGGAGTCGCAGTACTCAAACAGACCAAAGAAACAACAGATAACTAACTAAACATAAAAACCAACAATTAGCTAGACTTAAAGGGCAAAGTTAAGCTGAGAATATTCCATCAGCTTAATTTAAAGCAAGGAGTTTATTATCTATAGGAACCAGTCAATGGACTACTTTATGGAAAGCTTTGATCAACACTAGATCTACAAATCCCAGTGTTCCACCTGCTTTGGTAATGAAATATGGATAATTGCCTTCAAAGATAAAAGAAGAAGATAGATTAATACAAGCAGCTAATGTTCATAAACTTCTAGCAAAAGGGGTAATTGGTATTGAAGAAGAATGCGTATTGGTAATAGATTTAATGTGAATATATAATTGTGAAATTACGTCTGATTCAAAGAGTTTCATAGTTCGGGACCAGGAAACGTGTGTGAACTACACGACAATCACAATACCAGAAGTTGATCTTTCTGTGAGAACGGGAAGGGTTATTATTATACCACCAAGAAGCAACATTCTCATTCTAGGACGTATTAAGAACAACTTTTGATCTAGTGACTGGGATATGATAGAGCAGGAAGGGTTATTATTATATCACCAAGAAGCAACATTCTCATTCTAGGACGTATTAAGAACAACTTTGGATCTAGTGACTGGGATATGATAGAGCAGGAAGGGTTATTATTATACTAGCATCCCGTACTTTTCAGCTGTAGTTGGGTGTCATAATGTACGGTCAATGCCACTATTCGTTGGTAAAAGAGTAGCTCAAGAGTTGGCGGGAGGTGGTGATGACTAGCTGCCTTCCCTAGTCTTTCACTGCAAAATTAGGGACGACTAGCGCAGATAGCTCTCGTGTATATTTTCCCGCGAAATTCAAAACAACACAAACAAAAAAACGGTATTAAATTTTACCGTCATCCAGATAATTTCTAGCCTGCATGAAGTACAAGCAATC